CCGTTCATTATACCATTCAACCCTTTCTTTAATTTCATTGTCTTTTTCATCCACATATTCCTTATCTGCCTTCTTCACTAACCCACTAGCCAGATATGCTAACATCGTCAACATACTCTTTGTCAGCTTTCTTTTCAACATCCTCTTTTGTTGCATATGTTGCATCTGCTCTGTCATGTTCTTCTTGAACTTTTTCAATGACATACTCTTTGTCAGCTTTTGTCAATATCTGCTTTCAAAAGAAGTTCTTTTATAGGCTTCTCGTTTAAAGTTCCTTTTGTTGGATTTACACAGACAGTATGGTTCTTACTGTCTTGAAACAGAAACTCATCTGTCATTGGGTTTAATGTCAGTTTTAAGTTTCCTTTCTTTCAATGACTCAGATATCTTAGAATAGTTTGAAAAGTTTGTTGTGTTCTTATTTAGACTTGCAAAATGAGTTGTCGGTTGTGTTGTATTTCTCTCATAGACGCTGTTTCTTTCGACATTTTTATTCTAGATAAAATATGCTTTCAATAGAAAAAGAAAATTCAAGAGTTGCTACAACTAAACCATTAGATGAACTTTTTACTAACGTAGGTCAAAAGTTTGAGACAGAGACCGTAAAGCATGAAGGCTATCGTTTTGACTACCCATTTGAGATGGCTAAGAGACCCATCCGTCACAAAAAGCTATTGGCTTTCGTAGAATGAAGTTCATTTCAGAAGCCATACATGGTTTCCCATTTACGGTCGCTTTTGAAATTCGATACTATAACAAAGAAAAACGTACGTATGAGAAATTTGAACAGGGAAAACTTTTACAAGTGAATTTGCTTGTAAACTTAGAAACAACTCTTCAAGCTTTTCAAGAAAAAATAAACGATATCTATCTCGAATATGCAAAACAGTACAACATTGACGAAGGAGAGTACCATCTCGATATTATATATGACAGGAAAAATGCAACTGTTAAAATCAATAGAATAGAAGACCTTGGAGAAGACGTTTATATTTCTACAAAATATAACAACTTGGCATGGTATAGATTTTTGAGGATGTTAAATCAGCCTGCAGCATATCCAGTACACCCGAACTTTTATGAAGTCGAAAACCCTAATGGAACATATGAAAATGTTTTCGACTCAGATGCTATTATTGTTCATGCTTCATTTTCTGGCGCCCAAAACTCTTTTTATGCTTGGCAAATGACTTTTACGAAAACCTACAAAGCTATATGAACCACCGAGTGGAAGTATTTCAGACTTTCAAGTATGGTTTACTACAGATGGAAGAAAGAGAATAATTCCATTATACCACGCGTTTTACTTAGAACTTAGTTTCATATACAACTACTATCGAACGGTAAAAATATGATTTTTTAATACGGTTGAGGTGTTGGATTTGGTTGCCAACTAGACTGTGGTGCAGGTTCAGGCTGTTGTATAACAGGAGCTTGTTCTTCTGGTTCAGGTCTTTAGGTATAATACCAACGAACTGACCTACCTCTTTGCCAATATTTTTGACTCCGTTCCAAATTCCTCTTCCGACAGATTTTATTCCATTCCATATACCTCTTCCAACATTTCGAAAGAAGTTTCCTATTCTTCCAAAGAAACCCATTTTACTATATGTAAAATCTAATGTCCACCTAGTCTCTTACGTTTCCTTCTGAGTTCCATAGCATTCTTTAACTGGAGCTCATACATTCTATTTCTCCTCTGGTAGAAAACATATTCTGGGTCAACTCCTGTGTTCGCGTCATCTGCATAAAGTTGTTTATATCCCACTTCAGGGTTTGTATAAAACTCTTTCCATCTCATATTTGCATACCATGGTGGCAAACCTAACGCAGCGTCATTTGACATGGCAGTTTGCATTTGTACATCTGTTGGCACTTGACCATAGTTGCCATTGCAGTTTGTATTCTAACTTCATTTGGAATATTCTCTGGGTTTGGTTGTCCAGGTTGCTGTGCATTCGCTAAGTTCTGTGCGTCCATTTAATATTAGATAAAAATATCTCTTACGAGTACATATACTGGACATTTGCAGGCATTGGTTCATCTTCATATTCTCTATATCTTTCTGCCACGTCAAATAAGTAAATGACACAATGGAAAAAACCTAAAACAAGAAGTCCTATTTCAAACCACATTTACTTACTAGTAAAATTTCTTTGTTATGACACTTTCTCCAGTTTATAGGACCTCTCTCATATTCTATCTTATCGTATCTAAACTCATAGTCATGTATGTCCTCTAACCATCTCATGACACTTTCCAAACCACTTTTATCGGATGTAAAGTAAAAGCATGGATGGTTATGTAAAACGTCTAAAGTTTCTAAAGAGTCTCTCAAAGTCCAGTCTACTTGGTATTGAAAATCCCATGTGTTATAGAACGGCGGGTCCACTATAAAGAAAACATTTTCCTTGTCTTTATATTTTTCATACAACTCTGTCCAATGACATCTCACAAACTCTATACCCTCAATATATTTTTCTATGTCCTCTTTGAAAACATTTGTATAGTTAAGATATAAACTTTTGACATAAGTGTTTCAATGTCATGAACTCTTATAGCACCACTATATAATAGTCTAGCAGATATACTATCCCAGTCAATATACTCTGCCTTTTTCAAAACCTCTCTGACAGTATTTTCTTATCTAATGGTATACGTTCCATCTTACCTATAGGTATCTTTTCTTTTAACTCTTTCAATATTTTGTTTGTGTCTGGTATATGTTTGAGACGGTTCATATAGTTGTCGAAGTCATTGCATATAATCTTTGAGTCAGGAAATATTGTATGGCACAAATGAGATATATAGAAACTTCCACCGAACAAGTCTACAAATGTTAGACCATTCGGTAGTTTCTTAAGTTCTCTCAATAGAATATCTTTACATCTACTCTTATTTCCAAAGAAGGGTAACGGTGGTTTTGTAAAATTCATTTTATATACAATAAAAATGTTTTTTCCCTGAAAAGTGACAGAAAAGTGACAAACATGAAAACTACTCGGTTAAGGTTTTTGACAGATGTTTTGTTGTGACTTCTTCGTAAAGACTTTGTTGAGATTTCTTCGTAAATGAGTGTAAATGACCCAAAAATATATTTTAGGGTAGAAGGGTATATCTACCCCGTTTTCTACCCTCATTTCTACCCTCTTGAATTTTCATGAATTTCTTCGTAAAGACTTTGTTAAGACTTCTTCGTAAAGACTTTGTCAAGATTTCTTCGTAAAGACTTTGTTAAGACTTCTTCGTAAAGACTTTGTTGAGATTTCATCGTAAAGACTTTGTTAAGATTTCTTCGTAAAGACTTTGTTGAGATTTCTTCGTAAATGACCCTAGTAGTATATTTTTGGTGTAAAATTCATGAAAATTCAAGAGGGTAGAAATGAGGGTAGAAAACGGGTAGATATACCCTTCTACCCTAAAATATATTTTTGGGTCATTTACACTCATGAACTTTCTTGTCTATGTTTTGTTAAGATTTCTTCGTAAAGACTTTGTTGAGATTTCATCGTAAATATTTTGTCAAGACTTCTTCATAAAGACTTTGTCAAGATTTCTTCGTAAATGTTTTGTCAAGACTTCTTCATAAAGACTTTGTCAAGACTTCTTCGTAAAGACTTTGTCAAGACTTCTTCGTAAAGACTTTGTCAAGACTTCTTCGTAAAGACTTTGTCAAGACTTCTTCGTAAAGACTTTGTTGAGATTTCTTCGTAAATGTTTTGTCAAGACTTCTTCGTAAATGTTTTGTCAAGACTTCTTCGTAAAGACTTTGTTGAGATTTCTTCGTAAATGTTTTGTCAAGACTTCATTTATACTAAACATCTTCGGGGCTAGAGGGCACGAAGTGCCTGGAAGCCCCACTACCCTTTTTTTTTTTTTTTTTTTTTTTTTTTTTAGTAGTAGGATGCTGAGAAACCAATGTTGGGATTGTTGATTCTTGATCCTTAGCTTTTTTGTTAGAACTCCATATTCTTTACGAAACAAAGAAGTATCTTTTACTTCAAGGCCATCATTTGTGAATGATCTTCATCTTTGGCCTACAATTCATTCAAATTCCAACAATTTGGCATTTTTGATACGGTACTATGCAATTCTATGGATTTCACACAAACAAAAGCCAGATATATGAAATATGGTGAGCACCAAGAGAGCATTGTGCCATCTTGTCACTCTTATTTAATCAAACATAATAAAATTACTCAATATACTCAAATTTACCATAACATCCTAAAAATAATGCGTTCACATATATTGAATGCCATTATTTAAAGTTCAAATATAATTTTTTTGAATTAGCTTTGCTCATTAGGTTATAGCCATATCTTATTCTATCTTGAGGCTGCCAAACAAATTTAATACATTGAAGTAATGACTAATCAAAACACATAAAATATCAAATGAATTATTTAATACTACGTGTAATTTGATTATCCTTGCCTGTACTTTGAAAAACATAACATTGGAATCGATAGGATGTCTTGATGTTGAGCTATTATCGCTTTCATTGTGTAATGAATCATCTAAATTCAAACTTGTTTAAAAATCACTCCGAAAAGTGACAAAAATGATTTCGTTTCTTTTTAATTTCATATCATCAAAAGAAATATCAGAACCAGGATTTTACGACATTTCATTACAGTCTCAAGAGAGGTTAATTATCAATACTAAAAATGGCAAAAACAGCGCTCATATTTTTTCAAAAGTAAAAAGCTCGTTGAAGCAACAATAGAAAATGGAATTTAACAAATTCCAATTTCATAAATAAAATCGATGACTTCCAAGCCGTTACTATTACTGGTGAAATCTCCAAATCTCAAATAACATTCACATCTGATGTTACGCTTAAATTATGGCTATTACCAGCAACAGAATGTGCTGGTGGTGCAAACTATTATCAAACAAAGCAATACCTCGTTGATGAACTCACTCCATCCACATTTTTAAAGGAAAACGTATGCGTATTCTCGAATTTCGATAGAGAAGGAACAGTAAAAGCCTTTATGGAGCGTCGTAAGAACCAAGGAAATCCAAATCTTGTTTATATGAAAGCCGAAAACTCAAAAGTTGTTCCTACAACAATATGCAATTATTCTCAATGCGAGTTCGTTGGCAATAACGATGGCTACATTAAATACTCAAATTTCGGAGATAATACAACATTTATTTATAAACTCGAATTTGCAGAGAATACAACTACAGATATCTGCAACAGAAAGATAATTCCTATTGTTAACGTGAATAGCATGGAAGATAGGTTCTTCAAACCTCTCAGACACGAATTAGATTGTTCTAAGCCTGCATCACCAGATCACTCTTACTATAACTTCTACTACGCTACAGGAATACTCATAGTATTATGCGCTGTATGCTTATTTGCTGTTTACAAAGGTTGGTGCGCAAAATTATCTTATAAAGTATTTGGAGGCAACAATGGAGAGCCAACTATTCAGAATATCGACGAAGATCTCGTTGATGATATTGCTATCGATGATGCCGAAGAAGACGCCTAAAAATTTTGTTTTTGCAAAGTTACGAATAAACTATTATTTTTATAGTTATTTTTTGAATACAAATATATCTTTTGGAGCTGGGAGAAGTTGCTTTTGCCAATATCGCTGCTCCTTCATGATTTTTTTTTTAGATTTTTTATTCTTGTATTATAAGGATAGATCTGTTAAATATCGGCTCCAAGAACTTCATTTGAAGAAATTAGCCTATGCTGAACTAGAGCTTGGTACAGACGTTCTCTCATGATTAGATTCCTCTCCAAATCGGTGTTTCAAGAATCATAACATAAGGAATTGTTTGCAAAGCTTCAATCTTACCATACCCCAAGGCTTAATATTTTAATTCAGAGCCAAGTTCCTCTAATATACCCTTGTCTCGGAGGAACTTGGACCTGAAGAGTTAAATTGCGTGATATGACCTAAATGAATGACACAGTTGTAATATGAATGGTATTACAGGAGAGAAAGGGACAAACTATCCAGTGTCACTTTTCAAAGGAATAAAAAAAATAATAAAGATGAAATAATAACATGAAATCTTATATAAATATAATTTTATCTAAATAGATAAATGAATTAAGCAGTTTACAGTTATATATATTTAATGAGAGACAATATCTAGTTCTATGGTAGAAATGACTCTTAGACTCAAATAAGTAACACAGATAGAAAGTACTCAGTATAACAATTATATATGTACACTCAAAGTTAGTCGCTGCTAAAATCTTAACCTTGCATTTCGGGAAAATCTGACAAATGGCTCTTAGACTCAAATAAGTAACACAGATAGAAAGTACTCAGTATAACAATTATATATGTACACTCAAAGTTAGTCGCTGCTAAAATCTTAACCTTGCATTTCGGGAAAATCTGACAAATGGCTCTTAGACTCAAATAAGTAACACAGATAGAAAGTACTCAGTATAACAATTATATATGTACACTCAAAGTTAGTCGCTGCTAAAATCTTAACCTTGCATTTCGGGAAAATCTGACAAATGGCTCTTAGACTCAAATAAGTAACACAGATAGAAAGTACTCAGTATAACAATTATATATGTACACTCAAAGTTAGTCGCTGCTAAAATCTTAACCTTGCATTTCGGGAAAATCTGACAAATGGCTCTTAGACTCAAATAAGTAACACAGATAGAAAGTACTCAGTATAACAATTATATATGTACACTCAAAGTTAGTCGCTGCTAAAATCTTAACCTTGCATTTCGGGAAAATCTGACAAATGGCTCTTAGACTCAAATAAGTAACACAGATAGAAAGTACTCAGTATAACAATTATATATGTACACTCAAAGTTAGTCGCTGCTAAAATCTTAACCTTGCATTTCGGGAAAATCTGACAAATGGCTCTTAGACTCAAATAAGTAACACAGATAGAAAGTACTCAGTATAACAATTATATATGTACACTCAAAGTTAGTCGCTGCTAAAATCTTAACCTTGCATTTCGGGAAAATCTGACAAATGGCTCTTAGACTCAAATAAGTAACACAGATAGAAAGTACTCAGTATAACAATTATATATGTACACTCAAAGTTAGTCGCTGCTAAAATCTTAACCTTGCATTTCGGGAAAATCTGACAAATGGCTCTTAGACTCAAATAAGTAACACAGATAGAAAGTACTCAGTATAACAATTATATATGTACACTCAAAGTTAGTCGCTGCTAAAATCTTAACCTTGCATTTCGGGAAAATCTGACAAATGGCTCTTAGACTCAAATAAGTAACACAGATAGAAAGTACTCAGTATAACAATTATATATGTACACTCAAAGTTAGTCGCTGCTAAAATCTTAACCTTGCATTTCGGGAAAATCTGACAAATGGCTCTTAGACTCAAATAAGTAACACAGATAGAAAGTACTCAGTATAACAATTATATATGTACACTCAAAGTTAGTCGCTGCTAAAATCTTAACCTTGCATTTCGGGAAAATCTGACAAATGGCTCTTAGACTCAAATAAGTAACACAGATAGAAAGTACTCAGTATAACAATTATATATGTACACTCAAAGTTAGTCGCTGCTAAAATCTTAACCTTGCATTTCGGGAAAATCTGACAAATGGCTCTTAGACTCAAATAAGTAACACAGATAGAAAGTACTCAGTATAACAATTATATATGTACACTCAAAGTTAGTCGCTGCTAAAATCTTAACCTTGCATTTCGGGAAAATCTGACAAATGGCTCTTAGACTCAAATAAGTAACACAGATAGAAAGTACTCAGTATAACAATTATATATGTACACTCAAAGTTAGTCGCTGCTAAAATCTTAACCTTGCATTTCGGGAAAATCTGACAAATGGCTCTTAGACTCAAATAAGTAACACAGATAGAAAGTACTCAGTATAACAATTATATATGTACACTCAAAGTTAGTCGCTGCTAAAATCTTAACCTTGCATTTCGGGAAAATCTGACAAATGGCTCTTAGACTCAAATAAGTAACACAGATAGAAAGTACTCAGTATAACAATTATATATGTACACTCAAAGTTAGTCGCTGCTAAAATCTTAACCTTGCATTTCGGGAAAATCTGACAAATGGCTCTTAGACTCAAATAAGTAACACAGATAGAAAGTACTCAGTATAACAATTATATATGTACACTCAAAGTTAGTCGCTGCTAAAATCTTAACCTTGCATTTCGGGAAAATCTGACAAATGGCTCTTAGACTCAAATAAGTAACACAGATAGAAAGTACTCAGTATAACAATTATATATGTACACTCAAAGTTAGTCGCTGCTAAAATCTTAACCTTGCATTTCGGGAAAATCTGACAAATGGCTCTTAGACTCAAATAAGTAACACAGATAGAAAGTACTCAGTATAACAATTATATATGTACACTCAAAGTTAGTCGCTGCTAAAATCTTAACCTTGCATTTCGGGAAAATCTGACAAATGGCTCTTAGACTCAAATAAGTAACACAGATAGAAAGTACTCAGTATAACAATTATATGTACACTCAAAGTTAGTCGCTGCTAAAATCTTAACCTTGCATTTCGGGAAAATCTGACAAATGGCTCTTAGACTCAAATAAGTAACACAGATAGAAAGTACTCAGTATAACAATTATATATGTACACTCAAAGTTAGTCGCTGCTAAAATCTTAACCTTGCATTTCGGGAAAATCTGACAAATGGCTCTTAGACTCAAATAAGTAACACAGATAGAAAGTACTCAGTATAACAATTATATATGTACACTCAAAGTTAGTCGCTGCTAAAATCTTAACCTTGCATTTCGGGAAAATCTGACAAATGGCTCTTAGACTCAAATAAGTAACACAGATAGAAAGTACTCAGTATAACAATTATATATGTACACTCAAAGTTAGTCGCTGCTAAAATCTTAACCTTGCATTTCGGGAAAATCTGACAAATGGCTCTTAGACTCAAATAAGTAACACAGATAGAAAGTACTCAGTATAACAATTATATATGTACACTCAAAGTTAGTCGCTGCTAAAATCTTAACCTTGCATTTCGGGAAAATCTGACAAATGGCTCTTAGACTCAAAATAAGTAACACAGATAGAAAGTACTCAGTATAACAATTATATATGTACAAAAGTTAGCGCTGCTAAAATCTTAACTTGCATTTCGGGAAAATCTGACAAATGGTCTTAGACTCAAATAAGTAACACAGATAGAAAGTACTCAGTATAAAAATTATATATGTACACTCAAAGTTAGTCGCTGCTAAAATTAACCTTGCATTTCGGGAAAATCTGACAAATGGCTCTTAGACTCAAATAAGTAACACGATAGAAAGTACTCAGTATAAAATTATATATGTACACTAAAGTTAGTCGCTGCTAAAATCTTAACCTTGCATTTCGGGAAAATCTGACAATGGGCTCTTAGACTCAAATAAGTAACACAGATAGAAAGTACTCAGTATAACAATTATATATGTACACTCAAAGTTAGTCGCTGCTAAAATCTTAACCTTGCATTTCGGGAAAATCTGACAAATGGCTTTAGACTTGTTTTGATAATTAATTCTTCAATTATATTATATTTATAACAAATTTCTCAAACCTATATGTATGTCATTCAATTCCGGCCACTACATTCAATTGATGGACCATTTCCTTCAAATTTTGAAATACCTTATTCAATTTGTTGTATGGAGCCCGTGATATTCAACACTATGGAGCTCCTCCAGTTTGGTATCCAAGAAGAGATAAATAGCAGATGGGCTACTCTCAAAATGCTTGAAGCAATATATTCAAGTTTGCAACAAGGATCAATAGATTCAAATCTTGTTTATTGTACTTTAAAGGTACTTTTAAAAAAGAAACAATTAATGTAAAAGATTCAAATAATTTTTTATTATTATTTTATTAATTTTTTTAAATAAGGTTAATAAAAAAGTGACACTGGATAGTTTGTCCCACACTCATTACAGGATAAATCTTGGTAAAATATCGACTTATCATACATAAAAAGTACCCAGAAAGTCGAAAAATCGAACAGTCTTAAGCTAAGCTAGTGATATCTTAATTTGACTTATTTTGAGACTGTAAAATTTTATGAATTTCACATTTTTGACAAAAGTGAGCTCTGCAAAATGTCAATTGAAAATCTCCTTCAAGGATTCGAGAAAATTGAGAAATCCTTCGAGTCAATATATCATGTAATGTCATTCATCAAAACTTCTCCAATATCATTAGATCTAATTACAGAAGTTTTAGAATATTTTAAAATATCTATTTCCACTGATGAATTATTAAAAGCAAAGACACAGGACATTGAAGACCTAAAGAAGTTCTTTTTAAATTCAATCGAATTCTTTCTTGAATCCAAATGGGAATTGATTAAAGATTCAGATTTTCCACAAGTCATTAGAGAATTTCTATTTGAACACTGTTACAAATCTTACAGTAGATTTAGCCCATTAATTATGTTGAAATATTCACAAATTGTTGCACTTTATTTCTTATTAACTCAAGATTTCAACGCCGCTCTTCAATTCTTACGAACTAAAGAATCTAGGTACATTGTGAAAGATGTAGTCAACTGTATGCTTAAGAAAATGGCAATAGAACCTAAATATAAATCAACCAAAATCTTATTCCTTGAAAATGACGAAGCAAGAGAATTTTTCATCACTACAGCTCACGATAACCTCGAATTCAATCCCGATATTGGCACATCATCATTTGAATACATTGCAACAATTTATCCAAATAATTCCTGGATAAACGAAGAAATACTGAGAGAAATCTGTTCCTATCTAAAGGACTGGCATGCATACAGTCATATCATTAATATTTTCGCTCAATTACTGTTAAAAACTCCAGATAATTCCACAAAAAATCAAATTATTACAAATTACTTCACAGTTGAGTCATTACAAGGTTTGTTAGAAGATCTATCGAAGAACTCAGACCAGAATACGCAGATAACGGTCGTAAACGCCTTCATGAAAGGAATTTATTTGATATATCTTTACACAGAGAACTCCGATTTAGTTGGCTATGCTATAGAACGAATCCAATCATCATTAGTATACGCGAGAGTTGCCTGCCATATCCTTACTGCTTCGGCATTTATACATCCAGATTTAATTAAGGATTTATCTGAGCCTGTGATACAATACATGGTTGGAATCACATCTAATCCATCTGTATATACACTAGAGGAGCTAATTAGCCGCTCAAAGACTTGTACACAGTTCTTTTCTTTGTTGAATTTTTTGAATCAGGAATTTGCAACACAATACTTCACAGAAGTGTTCTCAGAGATAAATGTATCTGATGCTGCAACTACCTGCTACCAATTGATCATCGCAGACTTGATTTTGAAGCAACATATTAAATTTGATATTACAAATTACGTAATTAATGATTTTAGCCAAATAATGAACCTTGGAGATGATTTTGTTGCTTCTAATGAGTATCCGCACTATAATAATCTCGTATTATACACAAGATTATTAAGTAAGTTCGTAATCAACGATTCGAACCAAGAATTGACCATTTCATCCAATATTATACAGATACATATCAATATTTTGTCTTCTCTTGAAAAAGATTTTCCATCAAAAGTAAATAGGATCGTTAGCAAGTTCATTTTGCAGAAATTGCTTCAGTTCGATGCAATTTCACAGATTCTGAACCAAAATGAAGAGTTAATTAACTGGTCCGTCACGAAATTGGACTTGGATTTCACAAGAATAGCTTCCACGATAGCTATTGCCTACAAATCGCCTGAGATCATTAATAACATCCTTGAAGCGTATTTTGATATGCTCAATGACCCCGAAAATACCGATAAAGACAAAATTTGTTTGAATATGTGCGAATTTCTTACAAATATGTCCGATTACAACTTCGGGGACCAATTAGAAGCAATCGTACAGATGGTAAACATCGTCAGACAGAACATTGTCGGCTATGTTCAAACAGATACGACAGGATTGATGTTTGGCGAATATATAAAGCTCCTAAAAATTGTTTTAGGAGGTCCTTCATTCGATGAGAACCGAATCCAGTCATTTATCGAAGAGACAAATAATTTCATCGAATCTGGATTGCACTGGAGCGTCGAAACAGTGGATGGATACTTCCAAAACTTGAATATGCTGAATAATTATTTCTTAAAATCTAAGAATATTAATTCAGAAAGCGCAGAATTCGTAATTAAACTTATTAAATTCGGATTCGCACAATTAGTGTATTCCTTCCAGGAAATATTCGCTCCTTCGCACTCCAAGGATTATAGTTCTAGGTATATAAGGAACGCAGTAAGGAATTTGAGGCTTTCTTTGTTATATTATATCAAATTAAACAAAGATATACCTCAAATGCCAAGATTAGAGGTAGAATTCATAGGAGAGATGATTGTTTGGGGTAATAGTATCCTCGAAAACTATAATTTGAACCTAAAAACAACAAAACATTTTACAAAATTTGTTGCAACGTTAACTAGCTTCAATAATGAAGAATACATGAATCTGTTTGTATCAAAGGTGTTCGATTTCGCGATACATAACAATTTCGATCCAAATGCAGGTAGATGTATCTATTTCTTGAACCAAATCGTTCCTTATATATTTACAAACGATAATTCTCCTTTCAAATTGAATCCTTCGAAGTTTCTCGACGCCCTGTCTGAAGAAGAAGGTCCAAGAATCGCATTTGGCGAACAAGCCCTGATTTACTTAATTGAGAACTTGAAGAATGCGCTAAACATTACTGATCCTGCAGTGCAAAAGATGGAAATTAACATAAGAGTTCGTATTGCTCTTAATATCGCTTATAAGAATAATATTTATCGTATGTAAGTTTGTTATTGAAAAATAAATAAAGTTATGTTATTAGTATAAACAAAGTTCTATGTTTTCTTACTTTTAATAATTAAATAAAGTAATAATTGTGTATCTCAAAATATTATAGGGTAATCTTACTTTACAATGAGGAAATACAGAAGATTTGCTATATTAACAGATAAAAATCATAAAATTAGCTCTGCGTTAATCCAAACTAATTCAAATGAATCCTTACCCCACTATAGGTCAATTTTTATTCTAAATTCCATGATAATATTCCAATTGTGGGCATGGATGCAAACAAAATAGAGAATTACACTCCAACAAATTTAAAATTGTTTTTGTTACCGAACTATGTGTACTTTTTCAAGTCATTGTTTTGCTGTAAAACCAATTGGTTATGCGCTACTATCCTACTGCCTCTCACCTTCTTTTTTTGGATATATCAGGCAAATTGTATTTTCAATTGACTTTCTGGGAAATCAAGGATTAATTGATTGATCTCTTAAATAATTAGCTTTGCGTTTCAAATCTTCTAGCATATATTTCTTCAAATCACCAAATCATGATTCCTGAATTTCGTTATTTTGATATAATATTAAATTTTAGAGTGAAATGACCTAGCAATTAGAATTCTTGGTTGCTTATAAGTATTTGACCATATTTTATAAAAATTTATTTTAAATATTGATCTTGGTCGAATTATTCTCATACAAAAAATGATTTTTATCATATGGATATACTATTTTTGTATTTATTATTACAAGAATGTCTCCATACTCCAATAAAAAATTTATGGATCCATATAGCGAGACAACTCTCGACGACTTGTTAACAAGATCGCAGAATCTCGAAAGAAGGACTCCATTTTTAGTACACCAGTCACTAGAATTGATTAGCACTGAAACAAGGGCGACAATGAGCTCAATTGAAGATACAGAGCAAGCAAAAACAAGAGGAAAGCTTTTACTTGCTCAGGAGAAAGCAGATATCTCTCGAACACATGAAATTCTTAAAGGAATCAATCATAAAAACATTGTTCCAAGAACAGTTACATCAATCAACGACAAAACGGAACAAACAATGCAAAATAACATTGTATCATCTATCACGGAAATCCAAACGAAAACATCAGAGATTTGCGAAGAATTTATTTTCAAAAACATCACAAATCGATGGAATTCAGATACAAAATCACATCATTTCGCATACAGTCAAATCAGAGACGAGAAAACAGGCTTTTATATTCCATATAGAATTCATCGAAATTCAGATTATTCACGATTCATCAATAAAAGCTTTTTACCAGAAGAATTTGCATCAAAGATTGTTAAATCCGCATATACACATTACAATCTTCTTGAACCAGATTATTTAAACATTCCATTGATCGATACATTTGAATTAATTTCATTTCTTCAAGAATCACATTCACAACTTGAACAAGGTGTCATCAAATTCCTTGAGACACAAAAGAAGCGTGTTATTACACAAGAAGTTAATCGATTTTTACCAGTTGCAAATCGGGGTGGTGAATTCGATTTTCTTCCAACAGTTGTTTCATACATCAACATGCACCATTCACATTTAGGCGAATCTGGTCTTCCATGGGCCATCATTTACTATTTACTTCGATGTGGTGATATTTCACGTGCAGCCGAATACTCAACAGATAATTCACGTGAATTCAGTATTTATGTTGTCAACTTTCTTCGAAGTATGAATAATGGAATTTCATTTGAAGACAATGATCGTGTTGAAAACTATCTTTCATCCGAACTTTCTAACATCGATGCTAATCCATTCAAGATTGTCTCTCTTTCAGTTATGCTTCATCGCAATCCAGGTCATCGTGACATCATCCGAGAATTCAAGAACAATGATTCGGAATCTAACTCATCTGAAGTTATCCGATCATTGGAAGACTGGGTTTGGCTTCGCTTACATATGAAAGACTCCAGTATCAACGACTTGAAAAGTGAATTAGAAGATAATGAAACGGAATCAACAGTTATCCAGAATCCATTCCTTTCTGGCCAAAAACTTATCATGTCCGGCGAATTTGAGAAAGCATGTCAATGGTTTTTGTCACAAGAAGACAACATCGACGAGAACATCCACATTGCACTTGCATTACACTTATCAGGATTCGTTCCTTCTAAATCTATCTCACAATCATTGATCACATATGCAACAGAAGTCGAAGACCTTTCCAAAGCAGTCGGATATCTTTCATTTCTGCAAGATTTCGATGATAAAGTTAAATCTCTTTCCATCTTCATTGTCGAAGACGAACGTGGTCTTGAAATCCTTTCACAAGGAACAGAATCACATGATAACTCCATCATCTCCGAGTGGCTTACTCCACCCGAGATCTATTCCGTTCTCAATCTAGCAGGTGAAGAAGCAGAAATGCGAGATGAACATTGTAAAGCATATAAGATCTTCAAGATGATCTCACGATGGGACAAAGTTATTTCTAATGCAAACATCGAACTTCGACAGTGCGTTGAAGGCTTTGTTGATGATATTTCACTTGACGAAACAAATCTTTTGTTCTTAGAAATCATCCAGAAAGACGACAAGACCGATTTAACAGATTTCGAAAGTTTCAAGACAATGTATTATTTAGCTATTTCTAGTATTGAACTTCGTCATTGTCATTATTCAGAGGCATGCAGTGCTATTGACAAATCGGGTCTTTTCCCATCTACATTGGAACAAGTTGATTCATTTAATGAATCCATCCGAAACAGACCAGAGATTGTTCGTCGTGTTTTCCCAACAGCACTTGAGAACGCTATGCATGCATACTCAGAGAACTTCCGATCTAAATCTATCACAGGATCATCATCAGATTCAGACAACATGAAGATTCTTAAGAAGAAGAGCTCTGCATTATTTGAACTCGCTACTGTTTCTAATCTTAACATTAGTCGCGAGACCATGAGAAGAATTCTCGACTATACTATTATCTTTCAATAGAAATAAAACTAAATATTTATAGATATTCCAATTTATTCCTTGTTTAGATTTTTATCTGAAAGTACAATTCTACAACACAGCATATTTTACAAGTGAAATGATTTAATTATCTAATTCTGAGATCCGGGGGTTCAATAGAAAGAGATCTAAATAGGACAATGTGGAAGTTGCTCGAATACACACATCAATTCATGCTCAATATAACACTTATTAATTTATTCTATTTATCAATAGTCTCTAAGATATAATCGACATTACTATTATCTTTCAATAGAAATAAAATTAAAAAAAAATTCATAGATATTCATGGATATTATTTTAAAATCTTCTATATCATATTTTTGATTAGCTTTCAATTATATTTTCAATTCAAATGGATAGCCATAAGCAAAATCAAAAGCATTCAAATGAGATGCAAATAATCTTTTCCGACATGTTGGATCATTTATGGCACCTAACAATATATATTTATTATGGATTGAATAAAGAACTTTAAATATACACTCTCTGAATCTCAGAAACTAAAAAAAAAAAACTCAAAAATAATTCAAACAGTTTTTATTTCATGATAAAAAGAATAAATCAATAAGTGGAATATGGAATATTATGTAATACATGAAATTACATGAAATATGGTATTTGATGTTATCATTGTTCATAGTGTTAATACTGCCAAAAAATTCAAAATGATCTGTAAATAAATAACCACCATAAGAAATAGACCTGAGTCTAAATCTGATATATCGATATAATGGTGATTTATTACATTTCCATGTATAAACTTTATCATCTGCTCCTATGTCCATGTTATTTGGTTTATCATCAATCATCGACCATTCTATATTGTCATTACTTCCTTCAATTGCAAAATCAACTGGATGATTCCAATAACTACCACCAGAAGCATATCCTGATTTTATTGTGTAAGCTTCAAGTGAAATTTTGTTTTCTTTGAAATCAAAACTAATAAAGTTGTTTGTAACTTCTGACAAACCCCAACCATGTCCAGTCTTTGAATATTCGAATAAATTTGATGTTCTTCCGGAATATCCGTTTGAAATATAAACATCAATGGCTTTACAAGTTAATGGATTTTGACCATTATTTTGTTCTCTGATATATGTAAACATTCCATTATACGGATTATCTGTATAATGGACTACATGTTCATATCTTACCAATAATTATTGATTTTGTTTTAGTTAAACAGTTGACTTCGAAGTTAAACTTTGATTGAATTGATAAAATATGGTTTACCAATGTCATATGATGAAATTCAATAGTCTTCATTTGATCAATCATTTGTTTATAGTATTATTAAAGAAAATAAAATTCATTTCAAGCTCAATTACGAAAAAGAATAGGGTATCTAGTGGTTAGTTCTCTTTCATGCAATATATTGTCAAAGTAAATCAACAAATATCAATTGATCGTACAAAAAAAAAACAATCACCCGATTTTCTAGTGTTCGTAAACAAAGATGTAACTAAAATCAAGGGCGACAAAGGGCTCATTTGAAGATACAAAGTAAGCAAAAACAAGAAGAAAGCTTTTACTTGCTCAGGAAAAGGCAGATATCTCTCGAACACATGAAATTCTTAAATGAATCAATCATAAAAACATTGTTCCAAGAGCAATTTCATCAATCAACGACAAAATGATCTGTTACCAAATAACAACAAGCGATAAATGATTTGAGTCTAAATATATAATGAAGTTTTATTACATTACATGTATAAGTTATAATAGAAGAATAAAATCATAAATCATTGATGGTTATGAAAAGAAAAAGAAAATAATTAATTTTTTGGAACTATGATTGTCTTAAAAGATTTGCAATTTCATAATTCTTCGATATTGTTGCATAATGAAGTGCATTATGTTTAAAATTGTCTCGAATTTTGGTATTAGCTCCACTCGATAAAAGAAGACTTACAATTTCAATTGATCCTTTTTCGGAAGCATACATAAGCGCTGTTTTGCCATTTCGATCTTTTGCATTAACATTAGCTTTATTTAAAATAAGAAGCACTGCAACTTCTTTATTAGAATATTCGGCAGCTACAATAAGGGGAGTTTTTTTATCCACATCTCTTGCATTGACAACAGCTCCATGCAAAATAAGTAAATCTGCTGTTTCTTCAGAGTTATATGCAGCAGCATAATGAAGAGCTGATGAATTGTTATAATCTTTTGCATTAATATCTGCGCCATGTGAAATCAGAAGTTCTGCAATTGCAAAATCATCTTGCTGTGCTGCATTAAGAAGAGTTGATTTTCCAGTATCATCTACTGCATTGATATTTGCACCATAAGATATAAGTAATGCTGCAGCATCTTTACTATCATATCTTGTTGTAAAGTGGAGAACAGAATACTTACATATATCACTTGCATTATAATCGGCACCATGCTCAATCAGAAATTCCATGAATTCTACATAATTATTAGACGCTGCTTTATGAAGTGCTGTCATACCATCAGAATCGCGTGAATTGATATCTGCTCCATGAGATAACAATATTTCTGCTGATCTATTATTAGTTAATCCCGCGTGAATAATTGCAGTTTTTCCAAGCAAATCTGATGCATTAATATCTACTCCAAATGAAATAAAATCTTCAACTAATGAAGGAAGATAAAAAAGAGGAGAATTTATAAAGCAATCATTCACATCTTTTGTCATATCAAAATAAATAAGGAATGCATTTAAATTACCAAATGCCGCGCAATAAGATAAATTCATTTCGAGGTGATATTGATTGATCAAAAATGTTAAAAAATCAGTATTATGTGAAACAATAACAAAAAACATGCTTTCATCATTTGGTGTTTGATATTTCAAGCATTCACCCATAATTTCTGGAACACCAGATAGGAATGAAAAGTTAAGATACGTTGGTGTGATTTGCATATTATATTCAGATCTTAAATATTTAAAACATTTAAGGATGGGCACTCATTAGGGTGATGAAAAAAATCAAGTCTAGCAAAGTCAATATATTAAAAACAGTGAAGACTATTATATAGCATTATAGTGCACAAGCTCAAATATTTAGTGATGCATTTCTCGAACTTATTTTATTTATAAGTTAACCTTGAAACATGAATTTTAGTATATCATGAGCATATTTTTTTCTAATTTTGCAATACTTATAATATCATACCAGGATTCATGTGGAAGTCTAATATTTGGTATATAATATTCTTACAATAAATGTATTAATTCAATTATATTCAAAATGATGGGTCGCAATTTTTACTGAAATTGCAAATTTAATTTCAACAATGAAATTATTGTTTAAAAAAAATAGCACAACAGCAAGATGGACAATCATATATAGAATTATAATGCTCCATATAATGCTTTGATTTGATGCGTATATAATGTTATTTTTCGAACATCTTTGTAAAAAATTGATTTTTGTAATTTTTGAAAAAATTCGATTTTATTTCGAGATTTCCTCTATAGGTGAAGTATATTGAACAATATTCCTATGGGAGAAAATAATTGTAAGTATGAGTACTTTCATTAATACTATGGGTGCCATGGTTATCGCTCAAACGATCAAGTTATATCTCGATTGCGTAAATTGAAATTTTGCTATTTTCTAAATTCACGGCAACAACATTCTTTTATCCTGATCGTACATCACAATATTTGAATGTGCGACCATTTGTTCAAGAAACCGTCAAGTTATTCTTCATTTTTCATGCCGCGGCGAACAAAAGCAGTTGCAAAGCGTATAAAGAACTTAGTTCAAAGCGCGAAAAATAGGGTAGAGCCATATGTCGTCAACACTGTTGAATTTGTGCTATCTGTATTATTGAGCGGCGCTACATTTTGCCAATCAGAATTTCAATTCATGCTGAATAACATCAAAGTTCCGTCAGAAGCTACATTTCATCGAGTCCAAGAAAAGGTTGGTCGTGTTATCATAGAAGTTGCCAGAGAATCTGTTAATTATTGGAAATCTCGAATGAGAAAATGTTCGGGACTTTTGTTTGACGGTTCTTGGAGTCAGAGAAGAAATGCAATGTTTTGCTATGTACAATTTGTAGAAGAGAAACTCAAAAAAATTGTAGATTGGGAAGTGATATCTAAATCTTTTAAAAATTTCAAAGGTAATTTCAACGGAAAATCAAATGAAATGGAATTTGAAGGCTTAAAAAGAATGCTGAAGCGTTGGAATAATGAAAAACGTGTAAATTTTTTTGTGCATGATGGCGATGTCAAAATTGTTTCTACAATCAAAAATACGTTCAAAGGTATCAGAGAATACAGAGATCCTGGACATTTTCTTAACAATATACAGAAAAAGCTCAAACTGCCAGAATTCAGAATCTTATCTAGCATTTCAAAGAATTTATTGCGTTGGCTTAGGCAACTTCTCAATGACACACATATGTCAATTAAAACAAAGAAGTTTTTATGGTTGAATTCCGCTAAACATTATGCCGGAAATCATAAATTTTGTCCAGATCCTGAAAAATGCAAGATGATTAAACCATGGAAATATGCAAAAAATAAAACTGCTATAAAAACACTTAAAAAATTCCTCGAAGATACCGTAAAAATCTTTGATATGGTAAAAAAGATTCATTCAACTCAAGTAGTTGAATCGATAAACCATATCAAAGCAATGCTTGCTAATAAAAATATTAATTGGCATGCTTCTTGGCCAATTAGGATGGCAGTCACAATATTGCATTTCAATGAAAGTATGTTTGAAACGATTGTAGCAATAAGATACAGGTTAAATTTACCAACAATGCCAGAAATGATGAACAGATATTTCAGAATGTATGATACAACAAAAGATTTAATCAAAGCATTCAAAAATTCAAAGCAAGTTCAAAAAAAGTTTGCGGCATTAAGAGCTATAAAGAGAGGTCTTCAAGCTACCGATGATCGTATTACTCTTAAATCACATAAATAATTATTAAATTTATTTCACCCTCAAAACATCATAACCTTGCACCTTCTTTGAATAAACACTTTCACCTTCTATTTTTAATTAATGTTTTTTAATTGTCCAAAATTTTTAGATTATATAAGATATAATTTTTTATAAAAGTATTATTTTCTAAAAGATAAGTATATATTCTTAATCACAAAACCTAGCATTTTATCATATCTATATATCAGCTTCCTAAATATAATACTCATATAGTTAGTATGATTTTAATGTTTTTGAACATGAAACGAAAATATGATTACAATCATATAACATAATGGAGTTATTGATATAACTTATATGCATGATACATTAAGAAGTCTTCCAACAATATAGATATAGTTGTAGATTCCTATGATTCCTTTTATATTGTGAGATAATAACAGTTTTATGCTGTCAGGAGCCTATGAGTGCCCATCCTTTAACAGCACCATGATAACAACATATTTCTAATAATGAATATTGTTCAAAACCATTAATCAAAGGATATAAACCACTTCTTAATGTTTGATTCTTATCGAAATTGGAATCCAATGCGTATGATATAAATAATTGGAGGTCATCTTTCATGATTGCCCAATAAATTGTGTTTTCTTCATGAACTTCAAGAGAATAATTTTCATTTTCGTATTTTTGAAAAAGTTTTTTATCATATGCTCTTATATTTAGATTATTTTCTTTATAAAAGAAATATTTCAATACAGGTTCAAAATATGAATCTGGTTTTATATGATAATCTTCATAAATCATTTTGAAAATTGACCAGTAAGATGTTAAATATCGATTATTATATGGGAAAATATTGTTTATTAGATTGTATACATTAACTGGTGAGTAAATATTTGAATCAAGGAAAGTTGTTTTCAAATTTTGATAGATTTGTTTAATTTCTTCTTCATTTTTTGTTCTTAGTTGCATAAAAGGTGTTATAGCATCTTGATAAAACTTATATTTTTCCATCAACATGTTGTAGAATGTATGGATGTCTTTGTTTTTAGACATTTTAAATAATGTAAAAAATTCCATAAAAAAATTCCATAATTTGGATAGTTTATGGAAAACATTACACCGACTTATCCAAAGAAAAACAAGATTATCATATAGAATTTAATATAGGCAAAGGTTCAAGGGCTGGTCACTCTTATTTCCAGAAAAGTACTTGTAATTATTGAGAAACATATGTATTAAAAATTACCAGGCCATGTGACTGTTCCAATCTTAACACTAGTCACGAGACCATGAGAATAATTCATGGCTATACTATTATCTTTCTAAAGAAATAAATTTAATTAAAATCTTCTTAAGATTCTTTTTGATTAACTTTGATTCATTTATTCAACTTAGCTAAATTGATTAATATTGAATTCTCTGTTGAATATCGTTTAATATATGAAATTATATATTATGAATCTCAGAAACTCAGAAAAAAATTCAAAATTAATTCAGTAAGTTTTTACTTCATGATATAAAGCATAAACGAATAAGAGGAATATGGAATATTATGTAATACATGGAATTACATGAAATTTGGGATTTGATGTTATCATTGTTCATAGTGTTAATACCGCCAAAAAATTCAAAATGATCTGTGATTAAATAACAACATTGATATACAGATTTGAGTCTAAATCTGATATATCGATATAATGGTGATTTATTACATTTCCATGTATAAACTTTATGACTCGCTCCTAATTCCATGTTATTTGGTTTATCATCAATCATCGACCATGATGAATTGTCGTTACTTCCTTCAATAGCAAAATCAACTGGATAATTCCAATAACTTTCACCATATCCTGATCTTATTGTGTAAGCTTCAAGTGAAATTTTGTTTTCTTTGAAATCAAAACTAATAAAGTTGTTTGTAACTTCTGACAAACCCCAACCATGTCCAGTCTTTGAATATTCGAATAAATTTGATGTTCTTCCGGAATATCCGTTTGAAATATAAACATTAATGGCTTTACAAGTTAATGGATTTTGATCATTATTTTGTTTTCTGATGTATGTAAATATTCCATTATACCGATCATCTGTATAATGGACTACATGATCATATTTTACCAATAATTATCGATTCTGTTTTTGTTAAAAGATCGAATTCTAAATGAAACTTCCATAATATATGGTATACCAATACCATATGACTAAATTCAACGGTCTTCATTTGATCAATCATTTGCTTATAGTATATTTAAAGAAAATAAATTTCATTTCAGACTTAGTTATGAACAAGAATAAAGCATTTACTGTTTGGTTCTCTTTTATGCAATATATTGTCATAGTAAATCAACAAATATCATTAGATGGTATTGAGTAGCTTGATTTCAATTGTTACAAAAAAAAAAAAAAAAGATGTTCAACAATAAGTTCGGGTTTATGAATATTGGTAATTGTATGATAAATGTAAAAAAAAAAAAAAAAAAAAAAAAAAAAAAAAAAAAAAAGGTAGTGGGGCTTCCAGGCACTTCGTGCCTTCTAGCCCTGAAGATGTTTAGGAGAAATGAAGTTCTTATATACGGGTCTTCCAGGAGCTTTTCACAAATTATATATGTTTTTCATGTTTTGTCAAGATTTCATCGTAAAGACTTTGTCAAGATTTCATCGTAAAGACTTTGTCAAGATTTCATCGTAAAGACTTTGTCAAAACTTCATCGTAAAGACTTTGTCAAAACTTCATCGTAAAATCAGACAAAAATAATGTTTAGGGTAGAAGGTTAGATATAAACCTCTTTTCTAACCTCTTTTCTACCCTCTTGAATTTGTCAAGACTTCTTCGTAAATGTTTTGTCAAGACTTCTTCGTAAATGTTTTGTCAAGACTTCTTCGTAAATGTTTTGTCAAGACTTCTTCGTAAATGTTTTGTCAAGACTTCTTCGTAAAATCAGACAAAAATAATGTTTAGGGTAGAAGGTTAGATATAACCTCTTTTCTAACCTCTTTTCTACCCTCTTGAATTTTCATGAAATTTACACCAAAAATATACTACTAGGGTCATTTACGAAGAAATCTCAACAAAGTCTTTACGATGAAATCTCAACAAAACATAGACAAGAAAGTTCATGAGAAATTAGATGAAGAAGTCTTGACAAAGTCTTTACGAAGAAATTCATGAAAATTCAAGAGGGTAGAAAAGAGGTTAGAAAAGAGGTTATATCTAACCTTCTACCCTAAAATATATTTTTGGGTCATTTACACTCATTTACGAAGAAATCTCAACAAAGTCTTTACGAAGAAGTCACAATAAACATCTGTCACTTTTCGGGTAAAAAACATTTTTTTATTATATATAAATGAATTTTACAAAACCTCCGTTACCGTTCTTTGGAAATAAGAGTAATGTAAAGATATTATATTGAGAGAACTTAAGAAACTACCGAATGGTCTAACATTTGTAGATTTGTTCGGTGGAAGTTTCTATATATCCCATCTGTGCCATACAATATTCCCAGACTCAAAGATTATATGCAATGACTTCGACAACTATATGAACCGTCTCAAACATATACCAGACACAAACAAAATATTGAGTGAGTTGAAAGAAAGATACCTATAGGTAAGATGGAACGTATACCATTAGATAAGAAAAATACTGTCAGAGAGGTTTTGAAAAAAGCAGAATATATAGACTGGGATAGTATATCTGCTAGACTATTATATAGTGGTGCTATAAGAGTTCATGACATTGAAACACTTATGTCAAAAGTTTTATATCTTAACTATACAAATGTTTTCAAAGAGGACATAGAAAAATATATTGAGGGTATAGAGTTTGTGAGATGTCATTGGACAGATTTGTATGAAAATATAAAGACAAGGAAAATGTTTTCTTTATAGTAGACCCGCCGTTCTATAACACATGGGATTTTCAATACCAAGTAGACTGGACTTTGAGAGACTCTTTAGAAACTTTAGACGTTTTACATAACCATCCATGCTTTTACTTTACATCCGATAAAAGTGGTTTGGAAAGTGTCATGAGATGGTTAGAGGACATACATGACTATGAGTTTAGATACGATAAGATAGAATATGAGAGAGGTCCTATAAACTGGAGAAAGTGTCATAACAAAGAAATTTTACTAGTAAGTAAATGTGGTTTGAAATAGGACTACTTGTTTTAGGTTTTTCCATTGTGTCATTTATTTATTTGACGTGGCAGAAAAGTACAGAGAATATGAAGATGAACCAATGCCTGCAAATGTTCAGTATATGTACTCGTAAGAGATATTTTTATCTAATATTAAATGGACGCACAGAACTTAGCGAATGCACAGCAACCTGGACAACCAAACCCAGAGAATATTCCAAATGAAGTTAGAATACAAACTGCAATGGCAAACTATGGTCAAGTGCCAACAGATGTACAAATGCAAACTGCCATGTCAAATGACGCTGCGTTAGGTTTGCCACCATGGTATGCAAATATGAGATGGAAAGAGTTTTATACAAACCCCGAAGTGGGATATAAACAACTTTATGCAGATGACGCGAACACAGGAGTTGACCCAGAATATGTTTTCTACCAGAGGAGAAACAGAATGTATGAGCTCCAGTTAAAGAATGCTATGGAACTCAACAGGAAACGTAAGAGACTAGGCGGACATTAGATTTTTACATATAGTAAAATGGGTTTCTTCAGTAAGATAGGAAACTTCTTTCGAAATGTTGGAAGAGGTATATGGAATGGAATAAAAACCGTAGGAAGAGGAATTTGGAACGGAGTCAAAAAATTGGTAAAAGAGTAGGTCAGTTTGTTGGTATTATACCTAAAGACCCTGAACCAGAAGAACAAGCTCCTGTTATACAACAGCCTGAACCTGCACCACAGTCTAGTTGGCAACCAAATCCAACACCTCAACCGTATTAAAAATTATATTTTTACCGTTCGATAGTAGTTGTATATGAAACTAAGTTCTAAGTAAAACGCATGTATAATGGAACTATTCTCTTTCTTCCATCTGTTGTAAACATACTTGAAAGTCTGAAATACTTCCACTTGGTGGTTCATATAGCTTTGTAGGTTTTTCGTAAAAGTCATTTGCCAAGCATAAAAAAGAGTTTTGTGCACCAGAAAATGAAGCATGAACTATAATAGCAGCTGGGTCGAAACATCTTTAAATAAATATGGTTCATCTCTTGCATATCGACTGTAAATATTTGCTAAAGGAAGTTCGACTTTCTGATTTAACATTCTTTGCAAATAATACCATGACATTGCAGTGAATTCTGTATATATGTTCGTCTTTCTTTGGATTGTCTTCGTAGATTTGAAATGACACTTGTGAATTTTGTTTGTCATATACAATTCTCACATAAAGTGTGCTCTCGGTATTGCATATTCATCAGCATATTTGCATAACATGAATTTATTTTATCTTCTATATTTTTTAACGCAGTCTGTAGAGAAGATGAAAGGTCAACTTGTATTAGCTCAATTTCTTCCCACATTTTTCGTTTCCCTTCAGATATATAATCTATATGAAACCTTACAATAAATGGAAAACTTTTATCTTCTACAGACACAAACTTCATTCTACGAAAGCCAATAGCTTTTGTGACAGATGGGTCTCTTAGCCATCTTAATGGGTAGTCAAAACGATAGCCTTCATGCTTTACGGTCTCTGTCTCAAACTTTTGACCGACATTAGTAAAAAGTTCATCTAATGGTTTAGTTGTAGCAACTCTTGAATTTTCTTTTTCTATTGGAAGCATATTTTATCTAGAATAAAAATGTCGAAAGAAACAGCGTCTATGAGAGAAATACAACACAACCGACAACTCATTTTGCAAGCTCTAAATAAGAACACAACAAACTTTTCAAACTATTCTAAGATATCTGAGTCATTGAAAGAAGGAAACTTAAAACTGACGATAAACCAATGACAGATGAGTTTTCTGTTTCAAGACAGTAAGAACCATACTGTTTGTATAAATCCAACAAAAAGAACTTTAAACGAGAAAACCTATAGATGAACTTTTTGAAAGCAGATATTGAC